ATTTTTAGAAATAAAGAAAAATGTTCTGCCCTGAATTGCCTCTGTGGTGTTCGGGGCTGTAGTGCAGTGGTCCAATTTAGACACCATCATCAGGCAGAAAATTAAAAAAATAAACTGTTTTTTTCTCCACACATGGTTGTCAGCCATGTTGAGCGTACTCAGTGGATATATTCATGACAGAGCAGTGTTCCCAAAACATGACCTCCACTCCCCCTCTATCCTAGCTCCCAAACACTGCCCCCCTTCTACACCTGGATCCCCGCTGTAGGGCTTTGCACAAGGTGGGGCCTAAAGAAAACCTTTTCCATATGTGAAGGGAACAAAACTTTAACCTGAACATCTTTCTGTGAAACTTTTCTCGTCATTACCAGGGGGATGAGCAGTGCAGATTTATACGTGCCAGTCAGATGGGGAAAATTCATAGGTGTACCGGTGGGCTCTCAGTTTGTGGATGGGACTCGCTGTCAGTCGGGCAAGCCCGTCTCCTTTGGCTCCACAGCTGCTTGTCTAAGCGGGAAATGTCAGTAGAGATGGCAGGATTGGGCATCTTTTTTTTTTTTTTACACTCCACTCTTTAAAACCTTTTTAAATTTACTGTTTGTCTTCGTCTCAGTGGTTGCTGTGATGGTGCACTGCATTCTGGGAAAGTGAGGGATGTGTGTGGGGTTGTCGCGATTGGAGGATGGATCGTCTGCGCAGTTTGACCACTGACTCCTACCACTGGTGGCAGGGCATTGTGAAGAGTAGCAAACAACAGCATGGGATTTTTTAATATATTGTTTAATAATTGAATTAATCATTTTTTTTAAAGGAGAAGATTATCAAACACTTGTCTGAATTCCTGCTTCTTCAAAGTGATGATCTGCAGTTTTTCTAAGTTTTATTTTATGTTGTAAATGTATTCTTTTGGGGTTTAAACTGGTTGGTCAGACAAAACAAGCAATTATTGGAAGGTCCAGTGTGTAACATATCAGGAGGATCTATTGGGCAGGAAATGGGAATATAATATTCACTATGGTATATTCTCATTCGTGTTATAATCACCTGAAGGATAAGAATCGCGGTGTGTATGTTATGTCCCCAAAAAATAAAAATCTGCCTGAAGCTGCAAAACATACTATAATAGATTTATAATGGTAATTTCTCGCCACAAAACAAGCACATCAGTAAAGAATGGAATCCACAGCAAGCCTAGCCTAGACACAAGACTGGTAGTCAATGCTATTGAGCTTCAATAAAATATATATAGGAAAAGGTGGCAGGTCAGGACTTTAGATTGATGCACATATTAAACTGACGAAATGCTAAAACAGTTTTTTAATTTTGGGTGTGTAAATTGGCAACCACATTTTTAGAACTGGGTGTAATGAATTACTTTTAGGCTGGTTTTACTTTGGTTGCAAATGCAATTTCACCACTAGACGCCACTAAATACTACACAAAATAGTAAATACCACTACACTACTGGTCCTTTAATATTTATTTTTTGTATTTAGGAGCTCTTTTCGCTATTTTCTCATATTTCTTAGACAAAACGCTGAACCAGTTAACTGCAAAAATATTCAATCGATTAATTAGTAATGATAGTTGTAGCCCTTGTTCCTGTTCTGTCTTCCATGAGTTATAATTCAGCGCTTCCTGTTTCAGAGTACACCACCTTCCTCTCTCTGCCAGTGAATGCCACACAGGTCCACATTGTCAACAGGGCTCCTCTCTTCACTCACATGGGTGTGTATCATCGCTTTACTTTACAACAGATTTACGTTTCTACAACGGGACTAAAACTGGAGTTGTTTTGGAACAGCTGTAACTGTTGGGGATCGGTACATTGTGTCTGGGAGGGGCAGCATGGGGCTGAATATGACCCACCCCTCACCACTGGATGATAACCGCCTAGAGTACCACCTCCACCTGACCCCTGACCTTTTGCCTGAGATGGAGGAGCTGCTGTTGCCCGGACCACTGCAAGAGGAGATAAACATACAGGTCAGAGGTGGACTTTCTTCAGCAACTGAAAACTGAAAAATCCAACTGTCACACATCTCTACAAATCAAATAGGGAAAACTACAGCTTGTGTGCAACATCTGACATTTATATTTATTTTTCTCTTTCTAGGTCTATCGTAAATATGGAAAAGAATATGGAGAGAAAACAAATCCAAACATTACCTTCCAGTTCTACCTGCCTAACAGAAACAGTGACTTGACAGACATCACACCTAAAGGGAAATGGGCTGTCTTAACAACACCCTGCTCTGTCTCCTGTGGATCAGGCAAGAAACTGTTAATCACAAGTTATATCGAGAAGCACAAAAAGAATACGCAAAGTAATATTTTATTAGTATAAATTCACAGACTGGTTGCACAATGCAAATCCCAAAGAGGAGGCATTTTATTACATACTTACAGGATCTGTAAGGACACTGTAGTGTTGAATATGCCAAATTCACTTTGTTATTGTTGTGATCTCAGATCACAGTAGAAATATAACTTAAACTGAAAACCATACATTTCATTTAGAATAGTGCAATTAAGTCTGAACTCCTCCCTCTGCCATAAATGTTCAGAATAAAGGAATTCAGTAAGTCTGTTAATTCTGAAATATAAAAAAAATGCCCCAAAACTTGGAAAATTTGATAATTTAGCTGAAGGTTATTTTTTCTTTTTT